CACATTTAGAGTATTGTGTTCAGTCTTGGGCTCCTTACCTAAGGAAGGACATTGAATTGTTGGAAAGGTTGGGAGGAGAATTACTAGAATGGTGCCTGGGATGGAGGGGTTTTCATACGAGAAGAGGTTGGGATCTCTCAAACTGTTTTATGTTTAAAAAAAGAAGAGTAAGAGGGGATATGATTGAGTTGTTTAAGATTGTATAGGGAATTGGTAGTGTTGATGCATCATATTTTTTTCATACTTAACAGCAAGAAGAGTAGAACTAGAGGACATAAATATAAATTTTGGCTGGATAGGTGTCATCTTCAGTTAAGACAGTTTTATTTTTCTAACAAGGTGGTTGGCCTTTGGAATGGATTACCTTCAGATGTAGTAGATGTTGTGTAGGCAATAAATTTAAGTGAGTTTAAGAAAAAACTTAATAGCTATATACATGATAAGGGCTGGCTTTAAGACTTTTTTAAAATTTACATATTTAATAGTTTTAGTTTAATTTAGAAGATGGGACAGCCAAGATGGACCAACAGGTTCCTTGTTGTCCCAAAACATTTTGTTATGTTGTATAAAGAACAAAACAAATATATACTAAAAAAAAATTTCATGTGTGTTCAAAAATCTATACAGAAACAACTGATTTCTCACCTCTGTTCAACATCCGTGAACTGTCATTTCTGATCACACATGCACGTGTATACTGCTTTATTTTTCATAACCGTTTTCAATGTAAGAACAAACTTTTCAACAAAACTTATTGTTTCCCATTTGCCATTTCCCATCTTTGTCATCACTACAAGTTTTATGTTCTTCATTGTAATCTATATGTAAGCTCTCTCTCAAACAAACATTCTTGTTCAACACTTGCTCTGGTCCATAAATATTAAAGCATCACATACCTTCACTAAAGGTACCATCAATCCAGCAGGAAGGTCATAATATGGTACATCTGGGGCATGGTATTCACTTGCTTCAGACATTGTCATGCCTTGTGGAAGAGGAGTGGGACCTCCAGGAAAACCTATAAAAAATAGTTCTCCACAATTTAACACAAGTTCCACAGTGGTAACTTTCCTACATAGTTCAAAATCTTTTTGATGCTCTGAAAATGGTATATCTAAAAAACAGTTAATTGACTAATTTATGACAAAATAAGAACAGAAATATGGAATTAACAAAATCATAAATCTAACATTTTAAACAAAATCCAACTCAATTTGGCAAGTTAATTTTCTAAAGAGAAAATTACATGTTTATCATAATTATTTTCAGATAAACAGAAGAGAACAGCAGTTAAATAAGAGAGAGAGAGAGAATAGAATCACCTTGTTCACATTACGGCTTCTGCTAATCAGCCTTTTTATTGAAGATAAAAGTTTCATAATCCTTTCAACTACACTCAAAACACACAAACAAACACAAGTATGTCTAAGTTGCTAACAGTTTCTTAATCCTGTTACTACACCCAGAACAAACAAACACAAAGTAAGTATGAATTGCTAACAGTTTCTTAATCTTCTCAACTGCACTGAACAAACAAACACAAATATGTCTGAATTGCTAATAGTTTCTTAATCCTGTCTACTACACTTAGTACAAACAAACACAAAGTATGTATTAGTTGCTAATAGTTTTTTAACCCTGTAAACTACACTCAGAACAAAGAAATACATACTATGTATGAATTGCTAATAGTTTCTTAATCTTCTCAACTATACTCAGAACAAACACAAAACATGTACTAGTTGCTAACAGTTTTTAATGCTGTCAACTACTTTCAAAACAAACACAAAGTATGTCTGAGTTGCTAACAGTTTCTTAATCTTCTTAACTACACTCTGAACAAACACAAAGAGTGTCTGAGTTGCTAAAAGTTTCTTAATCCTGTCAACTAAACTCAGTACAAACACAAAGCGGATCTAAGTTTTTAATAGTTTCTTGAGCTTTGCATTTCATGTTTTTACAGGTAAAATGATAGAATCATGTTTTAAAAAATTCTGTCTGAAGTTTTGAGGTTTCAAAGTTTCTTCATATGTATGCGTCTTTTTTAATAGAGTAATTTAAAAAATCCAAATTGCTAGTCTTAATTTACAATCTCTGCTCCATCTTTTGATTTTTACTGAAACTGTTAAAATATCTCACCTATGCAGATACATGTCAATGTTTAAACCAAAGTCAGAAATAAGAAGATTTTAAAAAAGTTTGTTGCTTCAACTAGTTCGAAAACAGTGAATTTATGAAGTCAGTGATGTGAAAAACTGTATAATTCAACCTTCTGAGTGTTGTTTTTCAAGTTTCTGAATAAATAAATATGTGATCTGAAAGCTGGGATTATTTTATTTCTCACAATTTATTTGACATATACCTCCTACTTTCTTAGCTTGATTGTACATTTTTAAACTTTAACTTAGTTTGTTTCAAGACTAAGCAGATCTTGTACCTTGAAATAATGTAATGTGTTTGTATGCCAAGGGAAATGTAATACATTACTTTAAAAGGTCACATAGTTATCATGCCATATGTTTCAGATATGGTGACATTTAACAACTATTTATTTTCATACAGCAAAGTCAGAAGTGGTCAGTTTTATACCATAGCAATGGAGTAGGCTTAATTGTGTAATAAATATTTCACACAAACACATTCTTCAGTTTTAACAGGGTTTACAACAACTGTATCAGGAAAAAGCTAATAACTATGATACTCAGTAATAAAATGAAAATCACAGATCTACCTTGAGGAGCCATCCCTCCCACTGGTGGCCCACTGAAGTTTTGAGTGTATGGTCCATAGTCATGAGGTGGAAGAGGGGTGTATGCTGGAGCTCCTTGTGGTGGCATGTAACTAGGTGGTGGTTGACTGAAAGGTGGTGGTGGACCTAGAGGATAATGTTGTGAATGTGGAGGTCCTCCAAAATGAGTAGGAGGTCCATTAGCTATAGGACCTTGTGGGTGCAAGGGTGCCTGCTGACCATTGTAATAATCTTGGGATGTAGTAATGTTTGAATTTGAACCAGAACTGGGAGGTGGCTGGCCTACATGTGATTTAAAATCAAATCATTAACTTATACATATGACGAAAACAGGTTAGATGAGTTTATTTATCAATGAAAATATTACAGTAATACTTAGATCAAATGCAGTGTTAATAGCTACTCATCTTAAAAAAAAAATTATGTATTGATTGTACCTACAAACTCATCAAATCCAGATTCATATCATTCATTACATAAAACTCTGTTAAAAATCTTAACCTAATACTATAGAGAAACACATATAAACTACAATATATCTACATGATAATGATCCACTGTACGTAATTTAATAGTTCACTTATTCAGATTTATATTTTGTAGCAGTCAAAATATAAACTAAATTAATAAAAGATTATAGGGAATACCTATAGCCTAATTCTTGCATAATGACCGAGTTAAGTGACACATAATGACAATAATACAGTTTTTCAACAGTCTACAGGGTAAAAATATGTTTCAATATAACTTTTATTTTGACTATACATACTGTTAATATGAAAGTAAGATATAATTTTGTACCCATCACAAATTTCAGTTTATTTCATCAAGGTGTTTTTTTATTGACTGTTCCATTAATCTTTATGAGTATTGACAGGTATTATATTCTTAACGTTATTAGTGTCTTGGGTTAAAATATAAAAATATGCAGGTTATAGAAAATACAAATAGTAACATACAGCTGTACTTATTTAAAAAAAGATATCCTATTTCACCTATATAATTTTTTTAGTTTGTTCACGTTTCCAAGAGTCCACTTTAGGTAGTTAGTTTCTGATATTCACACAAAGCTACACAAGAGTTCTACACTAGCTGTCCCTTCCCTAGTTTCAAATTGACAGACTAGAGGGGAGACAGTTGGTCAATTGTATCCACTGCCAACTCTAGGGCTGTTCTAACTGAATAATGGAATTTCAGCATCACTCTCATAATGGACTCACAGCCCCAAAGCACAGACCATGCTTATGAGGCAGCAAGACACACCCAAGTTCACAATTTGTGGGTGTTTAATGATTAACACACTATTTTCAGTTTTTGACAAAAAATTAACAACTTGATGTTTCCAACAAAACTGAGAAGGAAAATCTACTATCACTGAAAATATCAAGTAGTTATAATTTCTGTACTATTACTTGACACAAGCAAAAAATAAAGGAAATTAATTTCTTTTTCAACAAAGAAGAAACCACTCAGAATTTCCATATAACTTGTTCTCTGTATTTACCTTCTACTCACAAGTAATGAAGTTCTTTACTACATTTATTACAATTTGCACAATCACTACTTTTAATGATAAATGGTAAGCCCAAAGGCTTGTAACCTAACATATGAGATTCTAGGATTCTGATGAGAACAGTGTTAAAAAAGAAATAAAAAAGTGTTGTGAGAAATTCAGGTGATGTATAACAACATAGTATTTTTTATTATACAGGCTAAATAGCTTTAATTGGATGCAGAAAAAATAAATTAAAGATATAAGTATACATTATACAAGGTGATTATGTGATAATTGAGAGAAAGGAAGATCTAATCAAAGCTTTTGTGAAACCTTTAAATCCCATGAAATATATTTTTAAAGTTGAGTTTGCAAACCTTTTCTTGTTGAGTTGTTCTCTGTCAATAAACATGCAAGTTTTGGTTCTGAATGTACTCGATGCAATGCATTATGTGCCACCTTACCCAAAACTTTCCACACTCTCATCGCACACGTGCTGGGAAAAACTACGTACACCTTGCTTTCCTGCCCTAAGCCAGATTTCTCTGTTTGCAGTCATGATGACATAATACATTCTTCCTGGTTATGGGAAGGTGGGTGGGAATGCATTTCAGAGTAAAGTACTTGTTTGAAAATAATTTTAAATTTAAAACTTGAAAATTCGAATTAGGTAGGCTTACCTGTATGCCAGAATGTCCCACATTGAGACGGAAGAAGGAAACAAAGAGGAAAGGTAATATACCTAGGCTACAGGAAACTTGAGTGTTGTGGGCAGGCACAGCTTGAGCCAAATCCAGAATCAGAGGAATAGCATCAGACTGGATTCTTCTGAAAGAAGTGAATGAAGAGGACTAGCCTCTAAAAATGACTGGACTTGAAAATCCAGACACTCTGAAGGTAAAGCATTCTTCCCAGTATAGTACCCCTTTGATATCGACACTCTTTATTTAAAAACATGGGTCATGGGGAGGGGAAGGATGGTATGGGCATACCTGGGTTGCCATTCTTACTTATGGTCCCAGGTAGTAGTTAGAGTCAGAGCTCAAAGCAATGTCCTGTACCTGTTAGTGGAAGATTTTCAGTGAGGAAAATCAGTAACTTAACAGAAACTGGATGTACTTATTGGACTAAAATCATCATCATCCAAAACTGAAAAGGCCAGCAAAGTCATTAAATTGGTCTAGCCAGCAGGCATCTATGGAGAGATGGAATGAGCCAGATAGTCTTGATGATAAGCTTAACAATTCTACAAGAATTCAATGGGACTGGTGGTCCTGATGATAAGCTTAACAAGTCTACAAGAATTCAATGTGTCAGATGGTCTTGATGATAGGCTTAACAACTCTACAAGAATTCAATATGAACACAGAATAAGGAATTCCAAGAGCTTAGAAAAGAAGATGATGTCACAATATATCAAACATGTCACATTTGATGGTGACAATGACATTTGCCCAACACCAGGGCTCATCAAACACATAGTATTGGCACTATTTATACCATCAACTTTCATGGACAATGATTTTTATGGTGTGAACAAGACTAAGTAAGTGAATTGTAATTATTAACATTTTTTACTTAAGTCATTTACTAATAAGATTTAATATGGTAAGAATTAATGACACAATAGTATTTTCAACACCAATTATTTTATTATTTGAACCAAGTAAGAGAATGTGAAAATAAAGATATATGGTGTACCACATCCTAGCTGGAGCAATGAGACATACATTGAAGAAGGGTTCCCACTGGGTTAGAAAATCACCACAGAAGACATATAGTATCCTGAAACTGAATAGACAGAGATATGATGTAAGTAACATATAAAAACATATCTAGATTAATTCACATGCTGGCCTGCAGAATGTTCTCCATGGTACTGTAAGTAGGATACCAAAGATATTGAATTTGATAAGATGGAACTTGACATTCACTCACAGAGTGCTTGGGTACATTATGGTAAATAAGATGGATCAAACTATGACAGCCAATTTGTTAGTATAATAAGAGCAAAGCCCAATGAACATAATTCCTCATAAGGTATGAACAACCTGTTCCAGTACCCCTGAATGATTTATTGTGTGTGAGATAATTAACAGAGATTACTAGACAATAATCTGGGCCACTTAGGATAGGTAACACAAGGTTAGAAACAGTGATTATCTTCCTTCACAGTGCATGTCTCAGGTAGGAAGGGTCTCTCTGGATACAAGTATAGAACTTCCAAAACACATAAGGTGTGTGTGATGCACTGAGGGTACATATCTGAATATCTTCTAATTGACACAAACAAAAGTCAAAAAATATGTCTTGAGAGAAAGATGATAAAGTGAGCATCTCACTAAGGGTTAAAGAGGAGGATAACTTTGAAAATGTATGACTATCCAGAACTTGTACAACTGTCCAAAGTTAAAATGTTATTAAACTACCTTTTGTTTATGTTATACCAATTAAAATCTCAGCTAATAATCCATATTTTAATAGCATACAAGTTTTAACTTCTTATTTCTACAAGGCAATATTTAAAAAAATCTTGAATTTCCACTAGTGTGACCCACACGACACATTTTCTCTTAGTATGTCATCATCCATATTTTATCTACCACCCCACAAAAAAGTACGAAATTAAATGTAAAAATACTGTCTATAAAATCGTTATTGCTCAAACAAATCATAATTTTTATAGCCTTCAATATTTTATTTGGTTACAGAGCTATCAAACAGAAAATCAGACCCCTCCAGCCACACCCATCTGTCATATCCTCTCTTTCACAATTCATTGATAATTCTTTCTTACATTTCATTATATATTACCTATAACCAATAGAAAGTCAAAGTTTTAACCTATCAAATGATGTATTGTATAACATTATGTTCTGAATGGTTAAATGTCAATTTCACTCAGAGTACCAACATCATTCCCATGAGAAAGTTAACAACTAGCTTGGATGAATTTGTCACATAGTTAAAAAGCCAGGAAAATTTTGAGAGGTAAGTGAATTTGTCTACATTTTGCATGTTATTAGTCTATATTCTTTGGTGTATTATTTGATTATATAACAATTATTAAGTGCATTACTATCTATGGTACAAAAAATTAAGGTTAACTTTCCTTGAAAACCCAAGAGCAAGAAAATAGAAGATTTGGTAAGTACTATATTTCTTGTTTTCATATTTATTCTTTATTTATTATTATAAAAGTAACTAAAATCTAAAAATACAGATCTTGTTACGTTATTTAAAACTAGATTAGGTAAAATAAGTAAT